CACACACACAAGAAAAAAAGGTCAGCAAAAGCATTCTGAAGTTCAATCGGCAGAGGCAAGAAGTCCCCGCGAGAGAGGTGCAGACCCAAACGCGACGGAAGCTTTTCCTTCCGGCCCGCGTTCCCTCGAGGACAGAGTTAAGTAGAAATCACTCTCTTTCTCTATCTGTCTGTCTGTCTCTCTCTCTCTCTCTCTCTCTCTCTCTCTCTCTCTCTCTCTCTCTCTCTCTCTCTCTCTCTCTCTCTCTCTCTCTCTCTCTCTCTCTCTCTCTCTCTCTCTCTCTCTCTCTCTCTCTCTCTCCTCTCTCTCTCTCTCTCTCTCTCTCTCTCTCTCTCTCTCTCTCTCTCTCTCTTCTCTCCTCTCTCTCTCTCTCTCTCTCTCTCTCTCTCTCTCTCTCCTCTCTTCTCTCTCTCTCTCTCTCTCTCTCTCTCTCTCTCCTCTCTCTCTGTCTCTCCTCTCTCTCTCTTTGTCTCTCTCTCCCTTCCCTCTCTTTTTTTCTTTCTCGCTGTGTGTGTGGCTCGCTTTGAAATAGAACAAATTTTTAACTTATTTAACTTTCAAATTCTAAGCAATTACTCATGAGGGCTCTTGCCACACTATCGTAAAAAGGCACATTTCTTCCATTTTCGTGTTATTTCGTGTTATTACAGCTGACGACCATAAAGTATACAAACCCAACATTATTTTTTTTCTCTATCATGAGTGTATGTACAGTATTTGTGAATGTGCTTGTTCGTTTATTTGTGTCTGTGCGTGCGTGTGTGTGTGTGTGTATGTGTGTGCGCGTGTGTGTGCGTGCTATGTATGTTTCTCGCCTTCTTTTCTATTGAGAGTCCAAAGAGCAATGTGGAGATAGGTGTATAATAAATCCTACCCCCACCCCTCCGCCCCTCCTCTCCGCGCCCATACCGCTCTGGAAGGAAGAAGTTCGTGCCGCAGGATTGAGTTTGTCCGCCGCAGCGCCGCAGAAAAACTCCCTCCACACGCGAGCGCCATTACCGGCCCCGACCGCAAGACGTCTCTCCCAGCGTCGCGCCACTAGCTTTCGCTCTCTCTCCTCTTGTCATTGTTCAACTTGCCCATTGGATTCCTCGCCTTAGAGGAAGCAGGCGCATGGCCATTCCTTAAGGGTTGAGCGGCGAAAACGCAGTGATTCTCTCACCAGAAATTATAATCTTAGGAGAAAATCGGGTCAAAACATACATAAATCGGCGAAAACGC